GCTCTTCCTCCTGTCTGAGGTTTCCATTGTTGTGAGCATTTCTGTTGAGGATTGGCAGTGGGGGTGGGGTGGGGGTGTTTGGTTTTTATTCCCCCTGTCTGCTGGGTGGTTGCAGCAGGTTTTGGTCACTTCACATGACCCTGGGTCACTGTGACCGTCATAAATATGAATCAGTTGCCAAGCATCTGAATGTAAATCACAAGACCCTGGAGATGCTGCAACATTCCAGCTGATTGGCACTTCCACTGAGCCCTGACAGCCCTGCAGCTCCAGCCATCTCTCGCTCAGGCTTGTGCGGTGCTGCCACAGGTTCAGCTCATTCCCCTCCCCCACTACCACTTTTCTAGGATGGTCGCGTACCACCTGCCAGGTGCCAATGTACCACAGGTGGTACCCGTACCATTGGTTGAAAACCCCTGCACTAGACAACACTAGACAACTGCTTCAAGTGGAGGATGGTTTGTTCAACGTTTCATACAGTATCATACAGTTCTCAAAGGTGGCCAGGAGTGAAAAGGTTTTGGGGCAGTGATGTTTATAGTGAGGTTGAGCTTACAGATGCATGAGCTGGAATGTATGTTTCCAAGAAGTCTGGTGGGAAGAAATGTTGTTTCCCCTGTGGGGGGGTGATAATTGCCTAGGTGTTGACTGAAGGCTTTGATGTTAACGAAGGAATCTGTTCTCTGTGTCTAAGGGATTTTAATGTCTGGAGTGGGCTAGTTTTCTTATGATTAAGAAATCGGTAAATATTTTCAGCCTAGGCTAAAAGGCTTAAGTGTTGTGGCCTTTTGCCACATTGTGTTTCCATCATAGCATTGTTGATGGGTTCACTGGATGGTGTGTGTGTGTGGGGGGGTATTAGCATATGGAATGGATGGTGAAGGGTGGCAGGGATGGCATTCCCCCCCCTTTCTGTTCTACATTCCAATACTTTGTAAACTATTAGACAGAAATGGTTTGGATCTCATGCAATCATCAGCCCAACATGTCTCTGTTATCTTTAAGGCAGCCATTTTTAAAACAGCAGGATAATGTTGTATTCATACAATATGCTACCTATGTCCATATCTACCTTGAAAAGAAGAGGTGTGAAAAGTAACTTAACCAGAACTTTTCTTTGTTCTGTAAGAAAACTCATCTCAACAAACCCAATGAAGCTCAATAACTGAAGATTCAAAAGATCAAGTTCAGAGTCTTTGCAAATTCTGAACACTGTAATAGAAGAACTGAGCCAATAGGATACAAGGTTGGAGGACTGAAATCTCCTCTCCAGCAGTCTCCTTGCTCTACATAGCAGTTTGGATAAGAATATGACAGAATTGAAATTTATTCTATAGCACCATCTCCTGATTTTATAGATAAGTCATGTGATTATAAATTGATATATATTCCCCCTTGAGTGATGGATCGATCTCATTAGATGTATGCAGACTAAAATAACTTTATTATTTTAAAAAAAGAATGAAGAAAACGTGAACATAGGAGTTTTTTTTAATGTTACATAGGCACATGAAAAGCGATCATTAAGGGAGTTGTCCAAATCACAGCATCTCAAGTGAATATCCCATGGAAAAAAATCCAAGAGTTAATACACATGGTAAGTTTGTTTCGGTCTCTTACTTCAGACTTGCTTTGCAAAATTATTCCTTGGCTTCTTTTCCTAGGCTCAGTACATTATCTCATTCTAAGATTATGAAAAGACAAGAGCTTTTCCCAAAGAGAGAGAGGGGGGAGCTATACTTTTCCTAAAGGCCAAAGTAGCCATCCTTCCTGAGAAGGATCCCATACAAGACAGGAATGGATACAACTTGAGTTGTTTATATCACACACTGCACACAGCATGGCAACAAATCTTTTTTGTACAAAATTTCAAATGCTTTCATCAATCACTTCCCTCTTTTGTATTTTTCTCACCAGGACCAAAGTGCAGTGAAAAGAAGCATCTCAGTTTTCTCTAAGAACAACACACCCTCCCCAAACAGTCCTGCTAGCAGGTCAGTGTGGTGAAGAAGGTACTGGATGAAGTCAGAGGGAGCTTCCCCAGGTGCATCAATGGACCCAGAGTCATCACTCACTTTCAGTGCATTCAGAAGAGTGATTGATGGATGTTTTTCTTACCAGAAAGCAATGCTGAATGGGAGCAGAAATGAAATCATGGCAATCCACCAGTCACTGCCCCTAAAGTCCCCCACAAGAATGTTTTATGAAGAGCAGCACCTGCCAAGTTCGTTACTCAGTAAAGGTTTGTTTATTTATAAGACTTATATGACTAGCCATCTTATGTAGCATAACTCTGGGAAGCTCATAACAACAGTAAAAAGCAAAAATAAGCAAAACCAAAACATGGCAATCAGGCCATCAAATATCATGCCAGCACATTTTTCAGCGAGTCAAAGAGAGAAAAGATGCGATTAATGTGATAATTTTGCTGCTGAGTCTGAAGGTTTTACTTATTATCACAGCAGTTCAATTATTATGTCTTATGTTTCTACAAGAAATAGATTAAAGATATCAATGCCTTTCTCAATAAGGCAAGAAAAAACAACCAAATAAAAAACTTACATGGAATAAGTGAATAAATTCTCATTAATGAGGAAAATATAAGTTCAAAATATCAAAAGTAAAATATTTCATTTAATTTGATTTAAATTAAAATGTCTCTATAATAAACAAGACCTAAGGCAGTGGTGGCGAACCTATGGCACCCGTGCCAGAGGTGGCACTCAGAGCCCTCTCTGTGGGCACACAGGCCATGCCCTGGAGATGGCAACCGTCCCTCTTCAACCAGCCGCCCACTAACTCGCTGAGGTCCCACATGGCCAGATGCATCCCAGCACCCATGTGCTTGCTGGCCTCTGTGTGCAGAGGTCGATGGTGTCAAGGCAGCAGCCGCCCCTGCCACACCTTGTCCTGTGACAATGGCACCCCCGCCCTGCCTCGCCTCACCCCACAGGGCAAGCCTCCTGCCCATCGCCCCACCTGGCAGAGACCCCCTGGATCTCCCCCAGCCCTGCCCGGCCCCCACAGGCGTCCCTCCCCATGAACAACATTGAGGTGATCACGCCCACCTTGGCCACTTCCACCCAATCTGCCATGCCCACCAGCCATGCCCACCCAGTGGGCCACACCCACCTGGCACCCGGCGATACATAAGTGGGTTTTGGGTTGCAGTTTGGGCACTCGGTCTCTAAAAGGTTTGCCATCACTGACCTAAGGAATCAGATGACAATATAGAAACCAAGCAGAAATGAATAAACTGATGGTTTACCATAGCTCCTTTAACTTATGCCCTGAGTGTTTCAGTTCTTCCCAGATCAGCTTCACCTCATAGTCACTAATGCAGTCACCATGCAAATGCAATTCACGTAGTTTCTGGTTTATCTTGACAATTCCTGCAATCTGTCTCCCCAAGGATTCCTTCAAATGCTCTCCACTAATCCTACCGAGAGAGGTCAGAATAATTACAAATACGGGACCGGATTGGCTACCCGCAGAGTTCTATAAATGTTTACAAGATACATTAAACTCACCAATGAAAGAAATTTGCAATGAGGTATTACTAGAGGCTAAATTACCAAACACATGGACAGAAGCAAATATTACTTTAATTTTTATTTATTTATTTATTTTATTTTTATAGATACATTGGAATACTATGAAATGCACGAGTGTTGGGATTCAAATATGTGAACAATCCTCTGTGTGGATGGCTGCTTCTTGAAGTCCATTCTGGCCCTGGGCAACAAAAAATTAGCTACCGGTTTTGCCGAACTGGTGCGAACTGGCTGAATCCCACCACTGAAATGCACTCAGGAAAATAAATGGCACTAATTTTCTTAGATGCTCAAAAAG